TAAGTGCAAAATGCAAGGGCACAGTCTGATCAGCTATTTTTTTAAAGTATCTTACACTTTCTCGTACTTTTCTCTGCAGAAAATCATTATTTTCAAGAAAAAAGGTGAAGGTTGCCTCAGTTTAGTATAGTACACTTGTAAAGCATATTCAAATTATACAATTAGAATCTCACTATGGTTCCTCCCCAGATATGAATATGACCAACACTATCTCTTAAGGCCACCCAAAAAGTTTTTAAATTCTCAAATAGCAAACACCATAGAGAGTCATAACTCTATTCTGATAGCCTCTCTGTTATTCTGAATGCGCCCTTCGACAATACGGTCTAACCTTTCACAAATAGCTTTTGAGGTAAATATGGACAGAACTACTGTTACGGGTGTTTCATCTCAAGAGCTGGGTACTACGATGCAGATGCATCACGATATGAAACCGATGTGGATGTGGTTTCATACCAAGATCAACGATTTGGTTTTATTCGAGTCTTGGGTTGTTACCACGCCCGGAGGTAAGACAACTCATATACTTAAAGAGAACCAATTAATGTATCACCTTGTTTAGGAATGATCTGGGCGTGTTTCGTAGTTATGGCTATGGGTATTTTACTGGAGTTCATCCGATACTTTCGATGGCGAATGGAGGTAGCAAATCGAAAAGAAGTCATGTCATCCACAAAGTACGAAACATTTGCATTTGTTAAATCTCAAAGTAAATTTCAAAGGTGAATAAACTTCCCGAGATGAGGGGGTCCTGAGATCAACATGAATTAGAAAGAAAAAACCTTTTCAGTTATATGTCCCGTCTGTTCTCTCTATCTCACTTTCTGCAGACCCTTTGTTTTGGCGTTCAACTAGTGCTTAGCTATTTACTTATGCTCGTCTTCATGACATTCTCTGTGTGGCTTGGATTGGCAGTGTGTATGGGAGCTGGTAAGCTACAAATTTCAAGGTTTCTCGATGTTTTACAAGAATAAATTACCATTTTTTCTAGGCATCGGTTTTCTTCTCTTTGGCTCAAGGACCATAAAGCAAGCGGAATTACAAGAACTGAACAACGATAGATGTTGTTGAAACGGTCTCAAATGTATAAAATAAAAAATTTTCCTTTGAGAGAACTCTGAAATATAAGCGCAGTGCCGCCGTTATCCTTATTCCCTACAACTCCACTCTTCTGAAAAGGCATTCTATCTACAGGGACAAGAAAGATCAGAAAGGGTCGCCAAAATGATGATGAAAATGTATTTCCATTTTCGTCTAGGGGAGCCAATACTGTTCCGAGAATGGACGGCAACAAATATGACAGGTTTGTGATCAAGTAGCTTTCTATATGTCTGCGCGGAAGTTAACCACTGGTAAAGAAGAGAAAACACTGATTCTAAACAGAATAAGATGAATTAAAAGAATAAGACGTTAGTGAACAGAACTGTTGAGAGAGTCAATATCATGAACTTGAATTTCGTTTAGGTCGAACAAAGTTACCATTACCTTGGAAGAAATGCTCAAATCATATTGGGAAATTATCAAATTTCAAAATATCAATATACATTCTGCACTTCAGGATACGTTTTCACTTGCATCGGTGTTGCCATTATAGCTGCAGCGTACGAGATTGTCAAGTTTTTAAGATCTGCAGTGGAAAAGAAAGCTAATGCACAGAATGTAAGTTAAAATCTAATTCCAGTGAAGATGTGAATTTTTTTTTGCCTTTTTTCCATACATTCTAATATTAGGACTGCTAGATAGAAAAACTAGAAATTTGCAGTTGTGTGGTTGCCATTCGGATACAGCAGCATTGCATAAAATCACCCCTGAGCCAGGAATGCCATGTGGGACAACAAGTGCAAATAGGAAGACTGAATTACCGTATGTTGCATAATCCTCAATATTTTGTCATCAGTAACCTTTACATGTTCATATACTGTTCGAACTAATCAAAAGTCTTTCTACAAGATACAAAAAGTAGGGATAATAAACTGAGCTTTGCTCAAGATTCAATAGTCCAAAAATAAGGAATTTTATCCTCTTGCTAACACCCACACTTTTAACACATCACCATCAGAAACGTATCTGAGCAGTGAAAGAGAAGCTTCTATTAGAGAAGCTTCTATTTTTAAAGCTTGCACTAGGATAAAAGTTCGCAGGTCTCTTGCAACAAGACCCGCATACTAGAATTCAACATATAGCCCTTAATAACTATAATGCTGGAAAAATTAGAAGATCAACGTTACCTACCTAAACGATTGAAGTTTGCCTGACATTGCTATATGTCATACCGACGGCGACTCGAGCACTTCTGAGCTGACACTCCAAAGCCGCGTAAGCGTTCTGGCATCCAGCATTCATAGTTTGCCTGTAACTACCATAAGATAGTCATGAAATTCCGGCTTACAAAAAGTTTTGCGTGCGTTAGAAACTAGATACGAATGCTATGACAAGGTCCCTACTTTCACTTTGATAATGCTATCTTCTCTGAAAAAAATTATTCTGTCACAAAATATCAAAATATCGCAAGTTTTTTTTTTGTTGCATAGGAAAACCTCACTCCTTAACAGCAGTACTTCGCACAAATTTTCCACATAGTTA